ACAAATAACTTTACGTATACATACATACGATATATATGTAAAATTTATTTGTTAAAAGACATTCTGTTGCAGAATGTAGCTCAAAAATAAAAATAATTTTGACAGTTTATTAATTTTCGTTTTTGCCAACCTTATATAATTCTCACGACGAAAATCAAATACGAGGAAGACACGTCACATAGCGGTAAATGAAAGAACTAACAATTTAGTTAAAAAATATTTACAAAATAATTACTACAAATATTTATCTTTATGTACCATAAATATTATATGAAATATTTAATCTATGTTTTAATAATATGTTAAATAAAGGTCTTTATAAAACATTTTCAAAATATTTATATAACATTTGAAAAAAACATATTCATAAATATTTATGAATCTTTATCATAAATATTATGTGCTGTCTGGGATAATATATGTATAATAAACATAGCTTTTAGTGAAACTGCGCCGATTATCGACAAGAACTATTTATTATCATCAATTAGGATTTTCGCACACTTTCCGTAATTGTAAACGTAACCGTAACGTTTCCAATCACGTTGCTCGATTCGGCTGTCCGTAACCGTAGCCGTAAAAATCAAGCAACGCGATTAGTCAAATCCTTATGTTACTGTTATGGAAATTCATCAGTGAATAAGGCCCTTATTTTCATTAACTCCGAATGTTATCGTATATCTGAATTATACATAATATCTACTATTTACTTTACAAGTAAAAGTGAGTATACATATTCTAAAATGATATCATTATTCTATTATAAGTCATCAATTTTTTTAATTTTCTACAGTTAAAATAGTTTATAAAAAATTGATGAGCAATCTTATTTTAATCGCCTGTTTATTAAACCGGCCGCGTTTTGAAAAAACCAATTTTAGAATAGAACTGACAATAATAATATATAGAGTGTTCTACAATTACTAGATATCCTTTTTTACAAGTTTCTAAATTTTTCTGTCGTTTTTTCCATCATATTTTCTATCTTTCTAACTAAAACCTGAAATTAAAATTCCATTAAATTTTCTCTAAAAGTCTACTTGAGATTAACTAAAAAATGTAATTTTATTAATTTTCTAACTTTTCACAAAATTTAATTTGTAAATCCTTTTTTTCACTTATAATTCAAAAATTATTGATGCTCAAAATTTCAGAAAAATTGTTCGTACATTGACAGGACTATTTGCTATTAAAAAATATCCAATAGTTTTGAGACATCCAGTATGTTCTCTTTTTTTCTCCTTTTTTTCCTTCCTCTTTTTTTAGTTCTCCTTCACTCTCTCTTTTCTTCCTCCCTTCTCCCACCTCTCCTCTCGCTATAAACACATACATATGTGTATTTCTCAAGATTCGCAAACTCGATAGAGATAAAATGATACCGCATACGATTTTATGAATAAGTTGGGAATGGAAAAAGTAAAATAAATCGATGGAAAAAAATAGTAATAAAGAGAGAGAAAGAGAGCATCGCCCAAGTATACAAGGTGTAACTGGACAAACATATACGGAGCACATCAAATTCTCAGGCTAATTTAAAAATGTTGAGACTCCAATAATTTTCAAGTTATCAATAATTGAAAAAGAACTTCTTATAAACTAAACTTTGTAGAGTTAAAATATTAATAAAGTTCTATTAAAAGTAAACCATCTGAAATTAACTGAAATGTTCAAGGTTTTGTTAATATTTTATTTCCACAAGGTTTCGTTTGCGAAAAACTTTTCATTTTTAATCGCTAACTCGAAAATTATTGGTGCTTCAACATTTTTGCTGAGGGAAAAGCCGTCTCCAAATAATTCCAGGAATTTACCATTAACCGATAATTCGTTAATTCTGGGACACCCTACATACAGGGTGGACAATATAAAGCGTTACGAATTTTTATCTCCAAAAATATTGTTTCTAGAGAAAAATGTTTTAAATAAAAATTATAGGATTTCAAGGGAAAAGAATTAGTGCTATTGACTTTTTCCTAAAAGGGCGATTTTCAAAATCATTTAAAGGTCATTTACGTTTTTTAAATGGAATCACTATATTTTTGCATAAATCAATTCCTCGTAATATTCTGCATAAAAAAATTATAAAGATAGTATGGCTAAAAAGTGAATAGTTTATAAAATATTCCATACTTAAAAGTTTAACATAATTTTACTTAAACTATGAAATATCTCTTGTAAAATATTAATTCTTACCTTAATACTTTTATGCACAAAATAATGAGAGGAATCGATTGGTGTAAAGAAAACAAATAGTTGTTTATAAGAAAAGGTATATAATTTGCAACTAGCAGCTACATATTTCATCGGAAAATTATTAATATTTTACGAGATATTTCATAGTTTAAGTAAAATTATGTTAAGTTTAAGTATATGAAATATCTCGTAAACCATTCACTTTTTGACTGTTCTACCCTTATAAATTTTGATGCAGAATATTGCGAAGCATTAATTTATATAAAAAAAATATGAGTGTTTTCATTTAAAAAAAAAAACAAATGACCTTCAAATGAACTTGAAAATCGCTCTTTAGGAAAGAGTCAGTAGCGCCAACTTTTCTCCCCTCCTGCATCCTACAACTTTTATTTAAAACATTTTTCTCTAGAAATAATATTTTTGGAGATAAAAATTCGTAACGTTTTATTATTTTTATCCACCCTGTATATACAATATGTATACAGCAGCGCGCGCGCGCGCGCGTTCGCCACGTGTATGTGTGTACGGTAAGGGTGGCAGGCGCCATGATATCGATCCCACGCAATATCGCGCGCTACGGGTCCGTGTCCCGACGCGGGCGTACCGACGCCCCGCATTTCTCGTGTACATGTCCAGGTATATACCCTGGTATAGTAGAACCGCCTCTACAAACGCACGATATTTATTGGTGAATAGAGCGGCACTAGTATTGTGTCCGTGCGTGTATGTATGTGCGCCACGTCGGCTTTGTTAAAACGTTTCATCAAGCGAGCCTGGTAGATATTTGCCGATAGCCGCGCACGACGCGATGACGCTTGTTCGATACGATCGATCGCACAGGCTCGTGTAATGTCCGAGTTTAGTCCGAGCGGTGTTCTCGAAAAGTAAACACCGATCAGACGCGCGGCTTCCGCACACACTGGCTCTGTATCGAAAATCATAAATGTATATGAGCGAACAGATTCGATATATTTGATATTATATATTTTGTAACAGAGAAAAAGAGAGAGAGAGAGAAACGAGAAAGTATATGATGTATTAATGCAAACTGATCAGAGTTATTTTATTTAAAGAACTCCACACTAATTATAAGCTCGTCAAACACGAGAAACTCGGCCTCTGTAAGTATTGTTTGACTGGTTGGATCAGTAGAAGAACTGACAGATCAGTAATTGTCCATTTTTAGCTCTGTGAGCCTATTCCTCAAATCTAACTTTTATTGTAACAGGTCATATAAGCTACAATAAAATTAGCTGATTGTGAGTTTACTGAGATCCAATTTCATATAAATTTAATGCGGGGTTCTTTATAATAGCTACAGTCAACTTGCAGAGTCCTAGTTTTTCGTATTTGACTGGTTGTGTGTTATTTAATGATAATTTAATTAATTTATAATATAAGAGCAAATATCCAACTTCTCAAATTGTTATAAAAAATAATTACACATTTAATGCTTACATATACAATGCGCTGATTGCAACGTATATGAGTAATTGAGGAATGTCCACTTCTTGCCTTCTCTTTACACTCGATACATCGATAAATATGAGACAGATCTATGTAATCCCGAATCTTGATAGACGGCGTCGGTTTCGAGCTAATCTCGATTAACGGCTCGGTTTGACGTTGATCGTGATCAGTTGGCACCGGATAACCGAATAATCATCGTATTCAGCAGCAGACATTTGTCAGTATTTGTGATTTAATTCGAAATTCGGGCGCACAAAGTTCGACGAACCTTTCTTTCTTTCTTCCTCTTTCCTTCATCCTACTACGTTTGTCTATAGACCAAGAAGTTTAACGAAACACAGCTCTGGTCGTTTAAATATTCATGATATATTCTACTATGCAAAGAGAAAGACATCTCCCGCGCGAGAACTTTCTACTGAAAGATTTGCTCTTGCAAATGTATACCGGGAATGATTCTTCAGGTGTCGACGATAACTTTTGATTGCTTCGAGAAAGACAGATGAGTCGAGACTTTACAGAAATATTAATAAGTTGTATATGCAAATTGTGATGGGCTAGATGGATTCTATACTTTCAATAAAAAATGTTTTTGATCGGATTTAAACCCGGGCTCTTGGGTATAGATAGGACAACTCTCCATATGTTCATTTTCTATGCCCGGGTTTAAAACCAACCAGGAACTTTTCTTTTTTTTATTAAAAGTATAAAACCCATTTAATATTTCACTAGTTACAAACAAGAAAAAACGGTGTAGCTCTAATCTAATATATAATTATTATCTACTGTCGAAAACTTGGTAAAAAAGGACTCGAATATATAGTAAAAAATCTGAAAGTCAGAATTACATCTTGGATTTATTCGATTCACCTCTCGGCAGACAATAACAAACATTGAGAATATTTTTCAAGGAAACCTCTTCAATCAAGAAAAATATGTAGAGTTAATAGAACTTCTCGTTACATCTTACAATTATAAAATTCTATTAACTTTATTTTATAGTTATAAGATGTAACAAAAAGTTCCATTAACTCTATATCTATTTATTCTTTTTTATTCTTCCCAGAAATATTTCTATGATTCCCTCTTTTGTACATACAAATCTTTTTATTATTCTTCTTTTGTACAAAATTTAACGTCACTTATAAACGTGATTATCAGATAGATATTTTGCTTATTTCTTCTATTGTGGTGCTACAACCCTTATAATTAGCTTATCCCTTTGGTATCTACGTTTATAGTTTTTCTATAGACAAACATAGAATCTAAAATTTTGTGCCGAACAATTGAAAAGATTTTCTTGGTAAAATACTCCACAATTTTGATCATTATTCTATTTTCAGGAACAGTAGTACAAGCAGAATTTGAAACTCCTCCGAAGGATAATGTGGGGAAGAGCAAATATGGCGGCTGTGATCCTCCTTCTAGGATGGCTATATGTTTTTGCACATGTAGAAGGTGAATGTTTGTTTTCATACAAGATTAGCACAGAGAATAATTTGAAATAATATGGGAGGGTAAAAATTATTTTTAAGTATAACATTATAGAATGAAGAAATCATAGAAAAGAAATAAAGTACCTCTTACCTTAAATGTTAAATGACATCCACGAAAAGATAAGAATTGGCTCTTTTCGTGCAAATATTGAAACGTAAAATGTAACTGCTTACTAATGTGACGCGGGAATGTTTGTCGGTCGTTTCAGCTGGCAACACCGAAGTGACATCCGCCGATACCGAGGCGGAAGCTATCCTCGAGCGAGCAGCCACGTGGCTATGGAGTCAACGGGACAAGGATGCCGGTTGGGGTAACGACACGCATCGAGTGCTTCTGGTCCTTCGTCTGGCGAATCTTACTCGCGATGATGTCACGCCGCCAGCGCCATCGCTTGAACTGCAACTCACTGCTAAGCAGATGGAGTTGGAAATCGTGCTTCTGCTTTGGAGGTAGATCCTTGATTTTTAGATGCTTTAAGGGGATGCTGCCTAGATCTGTTTTATTGACAAATATTATTTTCATTTAATTCTTTATTGGCTTTATGGAATGAAAAATTTACTAGAATTAAGGTATTCATAATAAAACAAAGCTGGTCTACTATATATGTGTATTTAAATAGAAACCAAGAAAGTTAAATAATTACAGTTTTCTTATCGTTTAAATTAGGTTGACCCAATGCAAAAGATCGATAAAAAACTTATTTATCTTAAGAGTTTAACAAGGCTCTGTCATATAAATATAAATTTGAAGTATAAGACAGGCGATAAGAGCCGATCGCGGAAGACAGTGCGTTATCCCAACGAAACTAAATTTTTTCGTTGGAATTAAATATCTGTGCACAAGGCACCAAATTTTACTTGATCACTGCCAAGATTTTTTTAAAATATGAAATAATCTCATATTTGAGATTTCGATCGGCTCTTATCGCCTGTCTTATACTTTAAATTTATATTTATATGACAGAGCCTTGTTAAACTCTTAACTTTATACACGCTGGCTTAAAGGCGTTTGTTTATCAACATTATTATATATATCAGAGAAAAGTATAGAATCGAAAGGATCTGAATAGCTCAGTTGGAAGAGCAGTCGCCCGGCAAGCGAAAGGTCTCGGGTTTGATTCCCGATTCAGCGACTTTCGGATCTATATTTTTCTCTTGCATTTATTTATTTCCGTAGGGGGGTTAAAGGAATATTGAAATTAAATCTCAAATATGAGATTATTTCATATTTTAAAAAAATCTTGGCAGTGACCAAGTAAAATTTGGTGCCTTGTGCACAGATATTTAATTCCAACGAAAAAATTTAGTTTCGTTGGGATAACGCACTGTCTTCCGCGATCGGCTCTTATCGCCTGTCTTATACTTTAAATTTATATTTATTTATCTTATTTCTTGTTTTTTTATATACATATATACGTAGTAGACCAGATTTGTTATGAATGCTTCAATTTTAAGAGGATTTTTCATTCTGTCCCGGGAAAAAATTTGTTATATATGTATAACAATATAAAATTATATAGAAATATATAAAATTATAATATATATATAATCGCAAAATTATATACGAAATATGTCCATACATAATTAGATAAAAATGCATTTTATGTATAATTATATAAATTATGTTTAATTATATTAATTTATATATATATATATATATATATATATATATAATAAATAAGTATTTTTTATATATATAAATATATATGTTTCATATATAATTTGACAATTATATATGAACTCTTATAATTTATATAATTATGTAAAAATGAACATATTTCACATATAATTTTATGATTATATGTATAATTAAACAATTATTTATATATAATTATATATGAAAAAATTTTTCTCGGGGTATAGGCAATAAAGAATTAAATAAAAATAATATTTGTCGATAGAATAGACCTAGTCAGCATCCCCTTAATCCTGATTTTAGATTTACTTTTTATTGAATACTGCTTATCTTTTAAACGAAAAATTTACTGGATACAATACAAAATTTGTCACACAAATGCTTTAGTATACGTGATTTTTTTATTATGTTCACAGACATCGAGAAATTGGATTTTCCCCAGTTAGACTGGCACGCTACACTCTGGCTCTGAATGCGATGTGCATGGATCCGCGACAATTCCATGGCCACGATCTGATCGGTACGTTGCAGCATCACGAGCCGCCGACCGATTATGAATTCACGTTGACCGCCCTTGCCGCATGCAGCGCGCAAGCACATGTGCGCAAACGGCAGATGCGTCGTCTTCTGGACATCGCAAGTGCTCCACAGAACCATAATGTTGGTGAGTTGCCTTAAGAGTTATTGGGAACTTTCCAGCAAGAAATACATAACAAACACACAATCTTACATGATTAAAAATTAGTGAACTCCTTGTCTCTCGACCAATAAACTGGCAGATGTATTTGTTAATTACAATCACAATGCTTTGACCATTATTTTTAGCAAGGTTGGGAAAGTTACTTTGAAAAAGTAACTAGTTACAGTTACAAGGTACCGATTTTAAAAAATAACTCGTTACAGTTACAGTTACTCAAAAAGTAACGAGTCGTTATTTTTCAGTTACTTTTTAAAAATATTATACATTATTTTAAATATAAGGAGCTTACATTTTATGCACAATCACAGTCACGTATTTAAAAAAATTCTTTAATGTAATAATTGATCGATTTGCTTGCGACTTTGCAATTACCATCAATGTATGAACCCAAGGAGAACAGAAAAGTCAAAATGATGTCATATTGACTAAATTTATATCATTTTTTGGTCAATATTTAGTCAATATGATGTTAAATTGACATAATTTTGACCTTCTGTTCTTCTTGGAGAATGACCTTTATATACAACAGTAACAATAGTTAGTAACTTACTAAATGGTAATCGCAAAGTCGCAAGCAAATCGACCAATTATTACATTTCAGAATTTTTTTAAATACTTAACTGTGATTGGTCGATCTTAATTATGTGTTATATTATTTTATGTACACTAAATATATATGAAAATTGTAGGTAAAAGATTAAATCATATGAAGATCATATATATGTTACTGTTATCAGAATTTAATAACAATATACCGGCTACCATACTTGAACGATACTTTTAGTGCATGTTTCCAAAAAACTCATAAAGTAACTGTTAAAATAGTTACTAGTTACTAAAAAATGTAACTAAGTTACAGTTACAGTTACAGATGCAGAAAAGTAACGAAGTTAAGTTATAGTTACCGAAAAAAGTAACTGTAACTTCGTTACAAGTAACTCATTACTTCCCAACCCTGATTTTTAGGTCCTTATCAAGTGATCTATACAATAAAATATGGAGGATATTACAAAATGTAGTAATTAATATAAGAATGAATGAAAAAATTATAAAACTTACAAAACATAATTACAATTATAGGAGAAACTTTAATTGATACACTTCAGACACATTCGACAAATATTAAGCAACCTTTATTATTATGTCATATATATGTATATTGTTAAGATTTTCAGTGTTCTTTTGTAAATTTATTGTGTTATTGTTTTTCTTAATATACATAGAACATTTCAGCAATTTCTCTTTTCTTAACATGCGTTTTTCTTTATGTAAAATATTTAGATGAGACCAATCGAAATAATGATTAAATTTAATTTTATGTTTGCTAATGACAGACAAATTACTATTGTGCATTTTTATGTTGCTGAAATGTTTCTTGAGACGAGTACTCAACTGTCTTTTTGTTTGTCCAATGTATGAGGCACGCACACATTGCAATTTATTTTATAAACTATTTCTGTTGCACTCTCGATGGGTATAACCTATTTACCAATTAACCGCTTTAATTTATTTGGAGGGTATGTAATGTACAATATTAAAACCAATCGTTTTGGAAATCTGATCTATGTTGTTTAAACTCTCTATAAATAGTAAAGCAATAAGATTAAATGTTTCGATTACATCATGAGTATTTTGATCATATTATTATATTATTTATTAAACGCTGTTTTAAAATCTTCAACCTTTTATGCACATAACGACTTATCGGTGCTTTAATTGGGAAGTAGTTATTTGTCAGTATTTGTTTAACTCTGTTTATGTTATTGTGATGAATTTTTTTATCATCTAATAAAATTCCATGATCAACCAGATTAAAAATGGTGTTTATTTTATACTTGAAAGAATAGTTCGAATAAAAATTGATATTATAGATTATAGAGAGTTTAAACAACATAGATCAGATTTTCAAATTTAATATTGTACATTACATACCAAATAAATTAAATCGGTTAATTAAATTTGGTAAATAGGTTACCCATCGAGAGTGTAACAGAAATAGTCTATCAAATAAATTGTAAAAATTGCAATGTGTGTGTGTCTCATACATTGGACAAACAAAAAGACATTTGAGAACTCGTGTCAAGAAACATTTCAGCAACATAAAAATGCACAATAGTAATTTGTCTGTCATTGGCAAACATAAAATTGAATTTAATCATGATTTTGATTGGTCTCATCTAAATATTTTACATAAAGAAAAACATGTTAAAAGAAAAGAGAAATTGCTGAAATGTTCTATATTAAGAAAAACAATAACACAATAAATTTATATAATAAAGGTTGCTTAGTTATTTAATATTTGTCGAATGTGTTTGAAGTATATCAATTAACATAAGGAGTTTCTCCTATAATTGTAATTACGTTTTGTAAGTTTTATATCTTTTTCTTATATTAATTACTACATCTTGTAACATCCTTCATATTTCATTGTATAGATCACTTGATAGAGACCTAAAAATAATGGTCAAACGTTGTTATTGTAATTAATAAATACATCTGTCAGTTTGATCGAGAGACAAGGAGTTCACTAATTTTTAAGCGGGGAGCACACACTCTTGCATAAGCGCATAAGCATATGCATAAGAAATTTGATTGGTTGAATTTCTTATGCATACGTTTATAGACTAATCAAGAGTCTCATGTTTACGGTTATGCGCCTATGCAAAAGTGTGTGCTTCCCGCTTTATTCTAACACTAGCGAGTGTCAATATTCATCCGCATATATACTAATTACATGATTGGTTATATCAAATAGAACAATTTTCAGGACTTTAAAAATTCTCTATTCAATAACCAATGGTATCACATTGTGTCTATCTGTGTTTTTTTGGTAAGCTCTCATTAAATTCTTTTCGACAATGTACATACACAGATGACTATTAATGTTTTCTAACCACGACAGATCAACACAATCGTATAAAAATGTTTGTGTTTGACTATGCCATCATTTTGTGTCATTCTATGGAACCGACATTTTTACATTTAGTACCATTTTTTTCTACGATGTGGTATTTTTAAATTTGTGTGTCCGCGGTAAAATGTAAATTTAGAAACAACTTAAAAGAAATTTCTAAAAAACTTTGTAAAAAGCTATGTAGTGTAAGTGATTGCTCTGCACTCTAGCGGTGAAATAAAACAGCAGCATTTCGTTAACACTGTGGGAGCTGTTCAGCAAGAATATAATCACAATATCACATCATTGATCATCAAATAAAATAATTTTCGAGACTTCAAAAATTCTCTATTTGATAGCCAGTTGCATTACATTGTGTCTGTGTTTTCTTGCTGAAAAGCTCTTTATGTAACACTGTCACACAGTTTATGACTGGCTGCGTTCAGCAGAATAAACTTGTATTGTAAAATTCGTGAACTGATTGGTATATGCTCTTAGCTAGATTCAGCTAAGATAAAGGGCATACATCAATCAGATTGACGAATTTTACAACAGTTGTAAAGCAATTTTTTTGCTGAACGTAGTCAGTATAATACACAGTAATCTCTATATTTGTATTTTTATTCTGCATATCGCAATTTTTATTGCATTTTTGATAGAATGAACATTATAAATTCACGGTAGATACCATCGCGATGTTGATCCTGGTGCTGCGGTGTATTAGCCAGGACCACCGACATCGCAACATCCATCACATTATTCGCAAACCATCAACGGTTCTGGCGCAGCAGCAAAGACTCGATGGCAGCTTTGGTGATCTGCACACCACCGCGTTGGTAATGCAAGCACTCGAGGAAGTGGAGAACGAGCCAGCCGACAATTGGAACAGATCCGCGGCATTAGCCTGGTTAATCAGTCAGCAACGATCAGATGGTTCATTTCACGGTGATGTCCGAGCTACCGCTGAGGCGATATTGAGTGTCACACCACGTGGATTAGCTAGCATCCGAACCCTCGACTGTGGACAGGGTTTATCAGACAATTCGCCACCTCGTCTAACTACGAGCAATAGTAAATCTTTCATTATAACAAAATTATCAAATAAATTTAAATTATAAAGGACGGGAATTTATTTAATTTTATTTTTTGTTAGTAATAATATCGTGTAAAAATCATTATTCCTATAATTTTATTAAAACTTCTTAATTTTAATTCAATATTTATAACTTGACTAAAGATGAACCTTGTATTAATTCTATATGAAATTTAATCTCGATAAAATCAGCTAGTTTTTATTTATGTTGTAGCTTATGTCCTGTTGAACAAAAGATGCAAGAGGCTCAAAGCTAAATAATGGACAGTTACTGGCTTATCACAACCAGTCAAACATGAAAAACCAAGGTCGAGTTCTGCATGTTGTTTGAACGCTCTGGCTAGTTCAATAACTGTCCATTATTTAGCTTTGAGTCTATTTTTGTTTAGCAGGTATAAGCTATAACATATGAGACTAGCAGTTGATTTTATCAAGAGATTCAATTTTATATAAAATTAATGCGAAGTTCTTTGAATAAAAAAGCATGGATAATTTTAAGAACCATAAAAATTATCTAATTGTTACGATTAACTGCAAGTTAGTGCAATCAGCTGTGTGTGGTAGAGTAGCTAAAAAAATTACTAGCATCATCTATTGATATTAAAATCTTAAATAAACCATTTTCTCTGGAACGATAATTCGGTCTGTGGATATACTTGCATATTTGTAATCTATTCGTCATAAATTTTATTTTAAGCCGAAAATTAAGTTTTATTTCTAGTTGCAAAAATTGTGGTCAATAGACCCATAGGCATTTGTCCACACATTTTTCTTACAATTATTTGAAAATTACATTCACGAAAAGTCATCCCTCTCAAATGATAATTCATCAATAAATACGAGTGAGTTCTGTCGTAAAATAAATAAAATACAGTCCTTTAAATTTATGAGTTGCAGACATTGGAACGTCTGACAATCACAGCGAGATCACTCTGCCGTCAGAAGCGTCAGGAGATAACACGAGCAACGTGGACACCACGATTGCATACACTTCGGCGCCAGTGTTGGTGAATGTATCGTATACTCTATGGGTCGGCAGCAACGTGAACGAGACCTACAACTTGACGGTGACGGCACCCAAAAACGAGACCTTCTATGGAGTGATGCTGTTGGCGGCGGAGATGTCGCCTCATTTTGAGTTCCTGGCATCCGAATGGCCTAACGGCCATTACGTTCACACACTAGCTGGCTACAAGGAGGAGCCGATGTCCTATCACTACTGGCTCCTTTACAGATTGCCCTCGCCACCGGAGCCGTCCTCGCCGCCTGGAAATCAACTGGTCGCACCCGGAGGTATATGGATGATTGTTGTCTTGTATTTAACCATGAAGTAAGAAAGAAGGGAATCAAACTCCGTAAAACAAAAATGGTTCTGATTTGTGACACCTAATTGAGAGAGAATCCGCTGAAGAGAATAGTTTCTCGTGGATGGACGCCATTTTTATAAAGCAATGAGAGAGGGAGAGAAAAATAGCATATCTTTCTTTCTCTCTGTCTGTTTTCGTCCCCCCCCCCCCTCTCTCTCTCTTTCTCTCACACACACTCACTGCTTTACAAAAATGGCGTCTATCTATGAGAAACTATTCCCTTCAGCGGACTCCATCTCAATTAGGGGCCACTTTTTCTACTCATGTGCTATGAAGTTCGATCTCCTTCTCTCTTACTTCATGTATTCAACATCCTTAGCTTTGCTTAAATCTTTATGTTACATAAAGATAAAATATAACTTCTCCGTGCTTTCAGGTGTCGACAATTTGCAGATCAGCGAAGGAGAGCACTATCTCTTCTGGTATAAGAAGCTATGAAGCACGCGGCGAGAGAAATAAACAGAGCAAAGTAACAAAACCAAAGAAGAAGTGGGAAAGGAGAGAAAACTGCTTTGTATAAGAGGCAAACAAAGTTATATATATAAATAAGAGAGAGAAATAGAAGAAAGGAAACGCGATCTCGAAGCTTTAGAGATCCAGTATTTACTGCCATCGTTAACGTAAAGAAAAAATCGACACGTAAAGAAATAATTAATTAATTAATTTTTAAAAAATACGCGACGCTGATAATGGAAAAATTAGGCGAAGAAGAAAAATATATACATATATACTTACTATATACATACACATATACACAAAACACAATTGATTTTTGTAGTGATTTTTAAAATTCCGTTCCAGTGGCTGAATACACATAAAGGGTGAGATACGGATCTCAATTGATACGTCGATATTAAAGGCCATTGCACGTAAAAAATTTTTAGTCGTAACCGTAAGATTCTACCAATCACGTTGCTCGATTCGGCCATCCGTAACCGTAGCAGTAAGAATCAAACAACGCGATTGGTCGAATCCTACGGTTATGACTAAAACTTTTTTACGTGCAATGACCTTAACATATACAATATACAACAAAAACAACTCCACTTAACACGTTGAACGCCAGTGACTAGACAAATGTGTATCTAGATCTGGATCTAGGATATAGAGGTGGATGGAATCCGATATAGCTCACATTGGGCCAGTTTTGCCCTCTCCGACCGATTAAATTTAAGATTTGCAACTGCAAAGCTTAAAACTAACCAACTTTACCCACATTTACAATAAAATGTTTGTGCTTTGCAGTTGGTAATTCTTAATCGACCGATTAAGTTAACCGGACATGAAACTGGCCCATTGTTAATTGGTCAAGTGAACACTAGAACTCTCTGATTGATCAATCGTGCTGGTGACCCTAGACACTGTTCGATATGTGTGAATGTATGCTAACGAGACTCTCCTCGGCACTTTTGCGTGTTTGTAAAAAATATTTTATTGATTTGCAACCAGCTGTATTTAGAGAGTTGCATAGATACTTATAGATGACCGAAAATTTCACAAATTTGTTGCAAAGAATATTGCAACGTCGTTCGTCACACTGTTATTGCGCGTACAGTCCTAGTATCTCATAGAATCAAGCCGAGATCAGCCGCGCTGCATTCAACGTGTTTATTAAAGTTTACTATAATAAGCTACGTACGTGACGTTTTCTATGAAATCGCAATGTGCACAAACATACTTGTACTTATATCGTAATTAATTCGTATTCACAATAAAATCGAATAGCAAGTACTCATTAGCAAATATGCGTCCCCGATGTTCCCAATCCGGTTGTAACGTGTTGATTTAGAGTTTGATATTTGAGGCTTTCGCGGTATACATGAATATTGGAATTGGTTTTCGGGTTTGAATCGCGTAGACAACAGTTCACATTTTGTTTATTAAAAAATTATGACAAAATATATCCTATATTTCCAAAAAATCTAAAATTGCGAACCTGGTGGAACTTTGCAGATATACACCTCATTTCGAACTGAAAACAGGGGATAAACGGAAAAAGCAGGGAAAAATTTTGTTGCTAAAAAATTTTTAATAAAAAATGAGCGAAATGTAAAATGTAGACTGTTTAATATTTCGTGAACATTTTAGCTCACTTTATCAGGGAGGAACAGCCTGATACTTACAATTAGTATCTATAGTACCAGTTCAAACATTGGAAGCGAACAAAAAGTCTACAGTCTACGCGGTTTAAACCCGAAAATCAATTCTAAAATGTAGAATTCGTTTTTTATTGCTGCATTGGTGAACTAGTGCATTCTGGTGCAGTAAAGTAGAGTGAAACAAAATGTATATATTGCTTTATTTTAACTTATTGCACCAATGCGTACTAGTTCGCCATTGCAGCAATAGAGAACAAACCCTTACTAAACGAATACACTCGTGATTAATGAGAATAAATGACGAATATCGAATAAGTAAGTAAGTAAATAATTAAATAAAAAATGAACAAAAACTACGAATCTGACCTGCTGCTGCAACATCGAAAAAAAGAAAGGACAAAAAATGCGTAAAATGAAAATGACGTACTATCGTTTGTACCTATACACGATATGTATCATTTATCAAGCAGCTCGGACTGTAATGTATGATTTCATTTTTTCTTGGAATCAATAAAGGACTCAGTAAAATATATAGGTACATTCGCAAACCTAAACAGTATATTCCCAGCTAACCATTTCTGCGGAGGCAAATGTAGGCAACAACTTTTGTTTGTTAAATAGCCGCGTAGATAAGAAACATATTTTGTCATTGCAAACACTGTAAGCATAAATTCAGTAAATATTTCAATATCAGTTCGCAGATTATATTAACAAAGTGGCAATGAGTAACAAGCAGATCTGTCGAAATCGTTGATAAAAGATTGATGCCAGAAACGCAGCAGATCCTGCAGATCTGTCGAAACGTTAAACTGACAACAAAAAGCACACAGATGTGCCAAAAGTATTTTAAAAGATTATATACGTTTTTTTTCAAAATATGATTTGACTAACAAAAATATACATTTATACATTAGACTAGATTATTTTTACTTTTTTTAAATTACTATGAATTATTAAATGTTTCTTTATTTGCTTTTTTTTTACTTAACTATTTTTCTTCGATCTGCTAAGCATTTGGCGCAAATCTGTTTTCAATTTGCGATTGACAAATCTGTGTTCTCAATTTGTTGGGTCAATCTGTCATCGCACGGTTAGTGACAGATCTGTTCTGGTGTTACACGTACCCAACTTGATGTTATAAGATATGCTTTCAACTTTTGATTGCAATTGGGGCGCACTCGAGGACACAGTTAGGCCCTAGATTTGCAGCAGTATTTAGCAGAAAATTGTTTCCCGACTGTTAACAATTCTCAAGCAAATGGTTAGCTGGGTTTTGTATCTCTTATTTTTTTAAATATATCTATAATATATTTAAGTTTCTTGAATGTTTGTATCATTTGTACAAATGACATCATTTTTTGAGTTGTGTTAATAGAAAATATTTACAAATTTAAAAAAAAAATATTGTTTTTTTATCTAGTAACAAACACATATTGTCTACATATATCATTTTTTAAACTGTTTGAATACAACATATGATTTCGTTTACTCATTGTCAGTGAATATTTTTCATTATATATTTTTTTTGTATATTGTTTTATTTTTTCTTTTTTAAATCCCCATACAATGATTCAAATTATTATGATTGTATAAAGTCGAGCGTTTTATATTTTTATCGGTGACGCTTTGTTTATTGATTTCTTAATTGGGAGAAATTCTTCTAAGAAATAATAATATATGTATATAAAATGCTTTATTTCTATATTGTATATAATATATTAATAGATTATTTATTTTAAAATATATATACATTTTAATATGTGTGATTAGTAGTTTTCTATTATCTGAATAAAAATATTGAGATAATCATCCAATAAATAATTGTTTCATTTTTTAATTTTATATAAATATATATTGTTTTTGTCTTTATTTCAAATAAAAAAAATATTATCTTCAAATTATTTAAGATAATGTTTAACAAAAATTTAGTCTTATATCTATACAAGTAGTGACATATTTAGCTTTGTTTTGTAGGAAGGGAAATGTCTGAAATTCTTGAGCGATTACATTAAAAACATTCACATACTTAACATTAAATAATATAAATAACTACTGTGAAGAATTTAATAAAATGATATATGTGATCTTTTTGTTTATTACACGATCCGTTCTGTTTCCTCACAAGCGTTGTTTATAGTGTTTTGGGACACCCTGTATATTTCACAAATCAAACTTAAAAAAATTTTTTGTTTTAAAAACAAAAGTTAATTAAAATAAAATAAAAGTATAAACATAATATTTTTATATTTTAAATTGTTTTCTTATTTAGATAAAACGCTTTATAATTTTATATTTTATATTATCTAAATTTAAAACAAAAACATCTTATCTAAAATATAGTATTTACGAAAATCGTCATTCATCTAAATAATTTATCTAAATTATTTTTTTCTAACGAAACTCTTATTTTTATTAGTGAGAGAAAAAGATAATATTGATTAGAGATTTGCATATTATTTATTCATAATATATTGCACAGTGTCATTATCTTGATTTTTTTCAGGTAATAATTCAATAAAATACTAAAAAATTATCGTCATGATTTATGGACGTATTGATGATTTCGACAAACCGTCGATTTGATAGATTTATCATAGACTTGAAGAACGTCTGCGTGAATTTATTCATTGATTTTTTAGAAGTATTTGATTGTGACAAAGGCGTGTTGGAAGAATCCAGTTTATTTATATCGCAACTCTCATTTGAAATCAATTCATTATTTTGCTCTATATTCATCAAACAGGATGGCCCTATAATGTTCATAAATAATATAAATGTACATCTAAACACATAAATTGTACATAGCGATAAACACATACAATCAACATATCATATCATAGCCAATGCATATTTTTCTTAAAAACAATTATGTTTTTTTTTGCACTAATTAATTCCTTTAATTTTGCGATATCATAATATTTTATGCATATAAAATAATTGAGGTAGGATTATCAAAACATGAATATTTTATAAAATCTTTTATAGTTAATGTAAAATTATATGATATTAAAGAATATCTCATAAACTTCACTTTTTGGCTACTCCTTTTTATAACATTTTTATGAATATTGCGAGAAATCGATTTATATAAAAAATTAAATTAGTTCTATTTAAAATTTTTTAAAATAACTTCTTTCTTTAGCAAAATATAGAATTAAATATAAATATGTCATTAATATATGCATGTCACGTATATATGCATGTATACATACACATACGAATACTCTTTTATAAAAAATATTACCTTCTCATATTAATATTTTTATTATTTCTTATTACAAGAAAAAAAAGAGTAACAATTATTAATTTTAAAAAAATACCTCGATCATTATCACACGGGATACTCGTATCTGTAGGCGCAAATGTTACTATGGTGCGTTTCGCTGAAGATTTATATGTAGTAGTAATGTTCTGAGTTTGAAGGCCATCTTCGCTTTCTAAAATATAATTTCAAATTTTATTTTGAATTACTATACTTTATTATATTATTTTAAACTCTTTTATACTTTATTATATTATATTATTATTTTGAAAATTGAGCACGACAAAAGTTGTAAAGCTTTAACAAATACATAAAATAATGATAAATATTTGACCTTGGCAACAATTATGAAAGAAGTTTCAAGGTCAATTTTAAAGTCGCTTTCAAAATATTCGGCATGTACAAAATATACGGGTAATCTGAGACACCATATATATGTCTTTATATATATATATATATATATATATATATATATACAGACACAATAATGTGAACATCTGTGAAAACAATAGTATATTGTGTATCAATTGCGGAAAGTTGACAATTGGTCACGAGTACGAGGGATAAACGCACAAGCCGAAGGCGAGTGCGACCACCTCACACGAGTGAACAATTGTCAATCCGCACTTGATACACACGATATTTTGTATTACAAGTGCAGGCAAAGTGGCTTTGTGCGCGTTTTCTGTGCGCGAGATGGCCGATCGCACGCCGCCATCTTGCGACGGCACGATGCGGGAATAGCCGCGTTCAAAGTCATTGTCCACGGCTGAAGCCAATGACTTTGAAGGCAATGACTTTGAACGCGGCTCAGCCGTAGGCAATGGCTTTGAATGCGGCTTATTCACTCACCGCGTTGCCGCTAGATAGCGGCGTGGGAAATTGGCCGCTTTCCGCACAGAAAACACGCACACAAAGTGCCACTTTGCCTGCACGTATAATACAAAAATTTATATTTGTTTATTAATAAGATGTTAGGCCACCATTTGCATTTTTTTCCAGTGGAATGTTGTCTTATTCTTCTATCTGCCAATTGCTTTAGAGATGTTGAAGGAGAAAATCTGCTTCTCACTCTTTTTTCAAAATTGCCTACAGTCCGATGATATTATAAAGCTATTAAAATGTTTAATTTTTCCTGGCCAGCACAATTACCAAATTTAAATATCATCGAACCACTATGTATATGGGAGTGAAAAAGTTTTTCACTCCCATAAAACTGTTTATAGTGGTTTGATAATATATTTAAATTTGGTAATTGTGCTGGCCAGGGAAAATATTTAAACATCTTAATAGCTTAATATCATCTGACTATAGGCAATTTTTAAAAAGAGTGAAAAGCAGATTTCCTCCTTCAACATCTCTAAAACAATGCGCAGATAGAAGAATATATGAGACAACATTTCACTAGAAAAAAGACAAATAGTGGTCCAACATCTTATTAATAAACAAACATAAATATTTTTCGCAGGTAATTTACATTATATATATTGTCGCAAAGTGTGTCGGTAAGAAGCAAAAATGACGGTCTCCTCTTTAGACAGGCCTTTGGCGATCTGTCTTTTAATCTGTGATATTACACTTGTGACAAAGCGGACATTCGCATATCGTTATGATATCCAGAACATATCACTATGATATCACTGATGTTTTTGCTATGGAGGTTAGTTTCTAGACTTTATATAAGCTAAGTTTCTGCATGGATTTCAAAATTATCAATGAAATGAATTATCAAGAAATCCCAATGAAAAAATATTTTATATTTACTTTAAAAAAGTTTTTGTAAAGACGAAACTGCTAGTTTTAAACTTCTTTATAGAGAGAACAGTCGATCAGAAAAATTAGGCTATTTTTATGTAAATATGAAAAACGCTCCTAATGGAAGCATCATAGTTCTAATAATAAAAATTCATCATAAGAGTTAAATTATTAGGGTTAAAATTATGCCATTACAGGAATGATGCAACCTTGAATGCTTCGTGAAACGCTCGGTTTTCTCTTGACAATGCCAGTTAGTTTCGATGTCATTTTGAATTCTCATCCAACATCTTGTTGGTGATCATGCATGATACTATAAATAAAGCAAGAAAGAAACTATATATATATATATATATATATATATATATATATATATATGTATGTATATGTATATATGTATCATCAATGAAAATATAGCTTCTCCCTTTTAATCAATATTCAAAGATACTTAATTCTAAATAGCCATAAATTTAAAAATGTTACCTAATAATTTATATTCATGTATGACATGTGCTAATTTAAAATTCATATATCCAATTTAAGACTCCTGGGTTCCTCGTCGCGGCCATGTTAAATTGTGACGTCAAAAGCGAAAAAACACGCGCTGAAAATTTCTCAGATGCTATTATACTTTAAATGAAAAAATATTTTAATGAAATAATGGCATCTAAGAATTTTTAGCATATAGTTAATTAGTTAAAATAAGTTTTAAAAAAGTTAAAAAGTTAATAACTGTTAACTTATAGCTTAGTTAATTTAAAATGTATTAATTAAATTAACTTCAACTAGTTATTTTTGATCTAAAAACTTTATTAACTTTTTTTCCTAAGTTATAAATTTTATTTATCTCTGAATACCGCATTATTGATTTTTTTGTAAGTTATAAACATTATTTTCAAATTAATATATATTATTAATTTTTATGATCATTTATTTAATTGTAGTTAAATTATTGTAATTACCAAAAATATATTTCTATATAAAAATCAAAATTTCTTTGTTTATTATTATAAATTTTAAAATAATTAACAAACAAAATTTTATATAGATTAATATAAAAATAACGTTTTTAAAAATTAACTTTTGATTTAACTTATTCGGTTAATTTTAATTTTAACTTTATGTTAATTTTTTGTTCATGTAACTTTATAAGCAACTAACTTATTAACTTAACTTAATTTTAAAAAATCTTTAGCTTGTGTTTTCTTGCCTCTGACGTTACAATTCCAATATGATCAGAGAGAAGCCAAGAATCTTAATTTGAGGAACTTATAAATGCGACATTGCTCTTGCTTATTGTTATCTGTTTTCAAAAATCTTGACAAAAGTCATCTCTGCACATGTCATCGCTAACTTAAATTTCGTCGATAATTTATATATCTGTATTATCATCATGAATTAATATCTGCTACGCAGTTCAGAGCTCATGTTTCAGCATAGAGGCGTTTCATTTAATTCCACTTCCACCTAAAATAGAAACTATCAGCTGATCAGCTGATGTCAAAAAGATGCGCGCAGTCACAGACTTCTCTCCTATGATACAATATTAAATTAAATTTAGCAAGTAATGTCACACTCTAAAGTTTGGCAATATGGGATACCGTTTATGATCTTTATATTCGGCGGATCGTATGGCCTTCGTGAATTTACAGAATTAAGGTAATTACCTGAAAATGTGTTTTACAGATACCTATCCTCATTTCATTATTTTAAATTATTGTTTCTATCTGGCAAAATTTTGTCGACTTATTTTCAGCGAATTTTCAGGTATAAATATAAAAATATAACTGAATATTCGATACGGGATGAATTGGAGAAAAAAGGAGTTGAGACAAGACCATTGGAGGAAATCACCATAGAAAAGGAATATGAAAAATTAGAAAAGGTACGCAATGGGTGTCCCATAGGAAATTGCTGAAACTAATCAGCTGTCATTTTTTTATGGATGCAGTTATTAAGAAAACAAAAATTATGTTGAAAAGAGAAAAGCCTGCAGTTTTTAATGGATATAAATCAAATGTTTGTATACCAGTTTATTTTATTGGAAATAAGTAATGAAAATAACTAATAATCACATATTTAAACTAATGATAAATATTTTCCAAGTGCGCACCATCTGAATTTGTACAAAATCCTGTTCTTTTATGAAAACTCATAAAAACTTTTTCTAATATGTCATTTTTAATGTTATTGATGATCCTTTTAATAGCTGCTATTAAATCTGCCACTGTTGAGAATATTTATCATTAGTTTATGATTATTAACACTTTTCATTACTTTTTATCAATAAAATAAACTGGTATACATTTTATTTATATCCATTAAAAATTGTAGATTTTTCTCTTTCCAGCACAATTTTTGTTTTCTCAATAACTACATGCATTAAAAATGACAACTAATTAGTTTCAGTAATTTTCTATGAAACACTCGATATAATAATTACAAATAAATAATGCTGTTGCAAGAGATCTCTGAAAATGTAACTTAATTTACAAAATCAAATTCTTTCTCAAGTTATTTAATCAAAACAAAATGTTCCAAAGTATACTTTTTGTAGAAGAAAAGAGAAAAACAATAAGCAATATAGAGTTTAAACAAATAGAAGATTAAATTAATAAATGCCAATATATTTTGAAAATTTTTATTTATTAAATTATTTTTAATCGTAATAAAATTGTCAAATATTATAGAAACTCAGTTTAAAAATATTATGCACAATTGTAAATAATTAATAGTATAGTGTAACTTTATTTGGCAGTACAAATATATTTTCTTTTGTATTATATATACAGAGCTATAGTTCTCGATTTAAAAATATATATTTTGTTTATAATCTGTTTATGCAGATATAACTTTTTTTTTCTTCAGGTTGATTTAGATAATTGGAAGAATGTCAGAATTCCAAGACCATGGGAAGAACAAGAAAGTACAAAAGTTTAGTTATTGATAGAACATGTTACTCTATTTTGTCAACTTACAATTAATAATGAGCAATATATAATTAATTTATCAGCCTTATCAGAAGAGATATTTGTGATATCACCTTTAATTAGATTCTTAGTAGATATAAAGTAGGATTAATTGAGAGATAAACATATAATAAAACAAATAATTATTGTTCTACTTGATTCTGAATTGAGTGAAAAATTTGCTAACAATAAAAGTTACAAAATTTCTATTTTCTAAAGAATATACATTATTAGATTTAACATATACACATATATATATATAAATGTTAACAATGCTTATAATTGTAGAAAAATGTTTTTAATTACTATATCATAAATATTGTAATGAGTATTAATTGATTAGTACATAATTTGATTTTACTAAAAACTTAAATTTATAATATTCTCCAAATACAACTGTTTAGATCACAAAATAAACTTTTCTTATTTAATAGAATTAATTTGTAATAAGCCATATTCAATTTTGTCAATCAAATAATTTTTCATCAAACTTTTGTCTTGAATATTTGCACAAAAATAAATAAGTACAAACTATCTAATATATATATATAATTACTACAAAGAAATTTTAAATACAAATAAAATGAGTTTATAAATAGAATAAAATAAACAAATATTAAAAATTGAAAAGTTATAATAAATCCTTCATTTTTACTAAAAGAAAATCTCAAAATTAAATACAGAATCCATCGTTAAGAAAATGTATTCAATGAAGGATTTTAATATAGTGTGCGTACGTATTTTTGCATTTTATCATCGAAAACATCAGAAAACTGTAATATATAGAAATTAAAATATCATGTACAATTTTCTTTCTATATTCGAGAAATTAATTTTTTGCCATGATTAGAGAGCATTTATAATTATTTTAATATTATCACACACACTACATTGAACAGATGGGAGCAATTTGGAGCAAATATATATTAACAATATACATATATGATACGAACAAAATTAACTTTAAAATATATAATAAGTGGATTCCGCACAATAGATTTACCATATTAATTTATAATGCTAATTTTTAAACAATCGATATACAATTAATAATAAATTCTGCTTATTAAAATCTCCTTTATTCTGGTTCTATATATTCTATTATATTTTTATATTAAATTTTTATTATATAAATTTCATATTTAATTTGTTATAAAATAAGCTAAATTATTTTCTCAAAGAAATCAACATATTTGAAATAAATTCCTAAACGAATTTTATCACAGATTTTGTATTTAATTTTAAAGGAACCTTTTAATGTAAAATAGAGAAACTAAAATAAGATGTTACATTTGGCAGTTCTTGTATGTGGCAGTGTAGCAATAAATAAATGACGAGATATAATTCACACTTTTCTGCAGTATTAATTTACATGTGATTTGCCACTTTAAATAAATGGACGTGTTTATATTAATGGCCTATCTGCTATTACGTCTCCTTAATTACAGTGAAATTCTATTTACAATATTTTAAGAAACACTCAAAGAACACAACATCTATCATATACTTACAAAAATATTGATAATATATCCAGATTTTCACAAAATAGTGAATAATCCAAGTTTAACATTTATAAAGTCAGTACTTCTAAATCGCTCTACAAAAATTACAAATTTCATATTTTATCTTCATTATTAAATATTACATGCAAACTTAAAAAAAATTATTTTTATATTTATTTTACCTTTTTGGAATCCATACATACTCAACAAACTCTGCCGTCTTGAATCTAATAATTGTTTACTTTGACGCAATTGCTTTTTTTCGTTACTGAATTAACTCTTGATACCTGCAATAAAAATATATAAGATATTTTGTTAATCAATTTAATAAGTAAAAAATTAATTAACGATTGTTTTTCTGTTAATTCCAGTAAAACTTATTCATATAAATTTATATTTACCAGAGTCTCTGAACTTCGTTTTTTTAAAATTTCTTTCTTGTGCAAGGAGACTTGAGAATCTTTAATATTTAAGGATTTGGACAAATTATCTTGTAAACTATTAGCATTTCCGTAATTAATTGAATCATTAGCAGCTTCTGTATTAGAATTTGAGAAAAATTGATCTAAACCGTAATCTTTATCAACTGTTGTGGAATGTGATATTTCGGTTGTACTGTAATTAGAGTATGATTTTTCGAAAACACTATTACAAGCGTTAATCAAATATTCATTTTGATCCGCTAAGACTGAATCATCAATATCTTCTATTGAGTTTGCAATTTCTGCTACAGATAACATTTCTAATTGTTCTTGATTTTCTCTGGTATTGCATATACTATCGCTTGTTTCTGGAATTATGTTACATTCCATATCTTTCAAAATGTCATCTTTAACTCTTCTATTCTTCTCTAATTGTTCTTGATTTGTTCTAGTGTCGTATATGCTGTTATTCGTTTCTGGAATCACGTTAGGGTTTTCATTATCTTGTTTGGAGAAATATTTGCTCTCCACTATAACATTTTCGTCCACAATAGTCCGTCTTATACGCATTAAATTCTTTCCTCTTCTTCGACAGTTTCCGTTGAACAAAACACTCGGCGAAGTTGTCAGTTCGGATACTCGTTTAATAAATGGATTTCTGGATTTCAATAATTCTGGTGACATATTATTTTCTGCAAAACATAGGTGTTCCTCTTTCTCTTTCTTTTCAGCACTGGAAATTAATTTAGCATCTTGATTGAAATTATATATATCCAAAATAGCTTTCTCGTTGAAATCCTGATTTTCTGAAAGCCTATTACATGGCACAGTCGGATTATTATGTAATTCTGATAAAGTGTGTTTATTCGAATTTCCTTCGTCAAGTTTTTTTGATAGAGCCAGCTCTTTTTAGGAGTAATCCATGAATTTACTGCATTTTTCGAAAATGAAACGTAATTTTTCGTTTTCAATTTATATTTGTTTGACCAAATGCTAGTGTGAATCGTCGATGCTTCTTCTTCCATGTCTCGCTTCCTTTTACGCTCCTACAATTTATAATACAAATTAATGTGGAATATTGTTATCGTACAATTATCTTTAAAAAGCAAACTATATAATTAGTAGTAACATAACTATAATAATACATATTCTATATAGTATATAATATACTATTAGTACCATAATATACTATATAACATACTATTAGTCTAATAATTGTTAATTATATACAGGTTGTCCTATTTTAATTGACCAAAAATTTTATTTGTAATTTTAGAAAAATATTTCAAACAAAAGTTGTATTTTATAACTCAAAAAGTACTTAATAAAATAATATTTTATTAGTGTTTTGGAAAACTCTTGAAATAAGCCACAAAAATATGCAATAAAAATGGAGCTTTCCATTTTAAAAATTAAGTTGACCTTGATCTAACCTTGGCAAGGTCATCAAAGGTCAAACTAATAAAGCTAATAAACAGACCTTTTAACACCTTAGTAAACTATATTACACTATACAATATAGTATATAGTACATTATAGTATAATACTACTATATCTATAGTATAATATATAGATTTGTAATACAAATTGATGTAGAACGCTCTTTTAATTTTTATTGCACATTATCTTTAAAGCAAACTATAATAATATAAATATATAGTATACTATATAGTTATATTACTATCAGCAGTATATAACTATAATAATATATAACTTTGTAACTTGTATAGTTAATTATATAACGATAGTTTAAAGGCAAATAATATAGCAACTTACGATTTTATCTGGATTAAAATCGTGAACTATTTTTAAAGTAGACGGATCGCAATTGCCGAAGGCTAGTTGTAAAGCAAGATCCGCATCTAATTCTTTGCCGGCGTATTGTAATTGGTCTTCGGTAATGTCAATTGTGGGTGGATTCAATCGCACTTGCTTCCTTTGTAATGGACAGAACACTAATTGGTATTTGAACGTTATATCTGCTAATATAAATGCATCTCTATATTCCTGTGTCACAATCAGCGATTTCATGTTGAGTACTGATCCTATGCGTGTCAATGCCTAGAAAAATATAGATGTTAATTAAAATCAGAAAAAAGACATACAAGTTACATAATTTTACGTTATTGCAAAAAAATTTTTTCACATTTATATACATGTGATTCTTGTATTATAAACTATTTCTGTCCTATATAATTAAAATTTGAAAACAATACAGCAACTTACTCTATGTATATTATGATCTGTATTTCTTTCGATGAATTTTCGCGCCTTTGCCAAACCAATACCAGGAAGTGAAGGGAGATAATCACAACCAGACAAAATACAAGTATAACGAAACTTATCCATATCAAGCTCTTCAGGTCGCATATTCATTGCCAAATGTAAGCGGTCTTGTTCGATTAAAACTCCATTTCCATTAACATCCATTTTAAAAATATCTGTAAAATAGAACATAAAATTATTTTATTTATTAATAAAGAATAAGAGATTTATTTTAACATTTATTGATAATAATATGATCGAAATTTTTATCTATGTATAAATTTTTATTTATTTATCTATAAATCATCATTATTCACATTATGTTTCTCAGTTGTATATATAGCTATATTTATATTAAATTACACAGAATATCTCAACTATCAATTTCAATAATATATTATTTGATAAATTTAATTTTAAATTCAAAATTAAAATTTTTTAATTTAAAACTATTAATATAAGACATCTCTAGTTTTCGAGTTAAGATTGAAAAAGCTTGTAATTTTTAAGTTTCACAAGGAATTAAATAATACTAATAAAATTGTATTCTCCATTTCATAATAAATAAATTGTAAGTGAATTTCTAGATTTAGTTGCAAATATATATATATAGTGAATATTGAAAATTAGAAATTCACGATATACATATATATATATATATTTTAACAAAAATTGATTAAATTAGTTAAAAATCTGTTACTAAAAATAGATTATGGAACATTTATTGAGTATATTTTCCAAAAACAGTCAATCATAAAATTGATTGTATCTTTAAATATGTTCAATACATCATTCAAATAATTATAAACAAAATAAACTTTAAATTAAAAACTACAGATTATGAGAAAGTAAAATATACTATATACTATTAATTTCCAAGTTTAATTTTAATTTTTGAATGATAAGCTTCAAAGTTTATTTTATTTAATTTCATGAATTTAATTTGTAACTCTAACTTTAAATTTAATAGCACTTTTTACTCTAATATACACAACATTACAGATGTATGAACTGAAACCATTGAAAGCGAAGTATAGATTAAGAAATAAAATAAATAATAAATATATACTAACTTTCTTACATCCAAATAATGTCAAGTCACTATCCTCCGTAATAACAACATCAGCTATACCACTAATATTCAAATAAGCTAATTGTGCATCTGCCTCATAAGGAGCTATAATGCAATCAATATTCTCATTCTGACAATGTTTAATTAATCCCAATGCTATTTCATGAGTAATATCTATAGCTCGTTTCAACAAGTTTCTTCCCTCCGCAACTTGACCCATTTGTATTAACTCAATTGCTTTCTGGCGATTCATTTGTCTAGTCCTAATAAATGATACATAATTATTATTATATATTATTATTTATCAATAGTGTAATACTTTTAATAAAATAATATGTTGACATTAAACTTAAAGCAACCTTACAGTAAAATAATCCTAATTTATAAACATTTCTTAAATTCCTAATATAAATAATAATTTGCCTAATTCTTACGTACTGTTTCCTTTTATTCTCCGTTTGTTCTTTAGCAGGTAACCGTCGACCGTCAAATACCAGGATTGGTTTTATTTTATACTTCAAAAGCATGTCTATGTATTTCATACAATACAGAACATACCTATAATATAAAAAGAAAAAACCATTAATCTCTGATATCTTAAAAAATATGTCAATATATGTAATATAATAAATATGTCAATAAATAATATAATATAATAATTCATCTCTTACGCATTCGTTGTCTGACCCATCATCAATTTTTCGGCGCAAGAAAACACACCTTTATGTAACCAACAATAAGAATCGATCGCGACAACACCACCGGAAAATTCTCTAATATTCGTCTTCTTGGAAGACTTTTCTAAGAACGGCAGTAAACCAGTGATTCCCATATTTGTGAATTAATTTGTTCCAAGCAAAAGCAGCAATTGTATACAATATTTTTAATGCATTGGTCGCCAGTTGCCGCCAAATCACACGTCACACGTGCAGTGTTATTAATAGACAGATCGCCAAAGGTCTGGATGAAGGAGAGACCAGCATTTCTCACTGATTTCAGCGCCATATCGTAGTAGCGGTCAATGCAGTAACTATTAATACGTTCCCAAGATAAGAGCGTCTCATGCTCATGAACTCGTCCGGCGGCATGTACGAGATTTATCTTTTCGTAGCGTTCGCGTATTTCGGAAAGGACAGAATTTTATGATGTTATAAATAAATAAATAAATAAAATATTAACCTGACCTATTATAATTATTTTTTAATAAATGTTTTATTATTATTATCATCTAAGTCTAAGTCGTTTAATTAATTTTTAGTTTTTTAATAATTAATTTAATTTATTCTAATCATTTTAATATGTGAAAAATACTAATACGTATACGTTTTATAATGAATTAATATATTTCGAGAGTCGAATTATATATTTTTAATAATATAAAAGTGTTCAAAAATTATATTTGACTTTTAATTTTAATTATTTTAGCAAAGAGTTCCGAAATCTCTTACACACATAATAGGGATTTTGTTCATCCATATAATTCGCAATTAAGTATATATGTTAATTATTAATTTTAATAAAATACAAAATTAAAATTAAAGGTCAAATATAATTTTTGAACATAAATATATTTAATTCGTTATAAAACGTATACCCGTGATAGTATTTTTCTCGTACAAAAATAACTAGAACAAATTAAATTACTCATAAAAAATTAAAAAATAATTAAATAATTTATATTATATATGATAATAATAAAACATTTTATAAAAAAAACAGATTCAATAAATATATATAACATGTACTTATATTTATTGAATCTGTTTTTTAATAAAATGTTTTATAAGCTTAGAAAACTTGACTTTGACGTAACTAGCAAATTTTATTTAATTATTTCACGACGGTTTGACGTAATAAAATGTTTTATTATTATTATATAAAATATAAGTTTAAATTCTTTAATTAATTTTTAATCTTTTATGATTAATTTAATTTACTCTAATTATTTTTGTACGAGAAAAATACTATCATGGGTATACGTTTTATAATTAATTTAATATATTTGTGTTTAAAAATTATATTTGACCTTTAATTTTAATTTTTATTTTATTAAAATTAATAATTAACATATATACTTAATTGCGAATTATATGGATGAAAAAAATCCCCATTATGTGTGTAAGAGATTTCGGAACTCTTTGCTATAAAATAATTAAAATTAAAAGTCAAATATAATTTTTGAACACTTTTATATTATTAAGAATATATAATTCGATTCCCGAAATATATTAATTCATTATAAAACGTATACGTGATATTATTTTTCTCATATAAAAATGACTAGAATAAATTAAATTAATTATTAAAAAACTAAAAAGTAATTAAACGACTTAGACTTAGATGATAATAATAATGAAACATTTTATTAAAAAAAGATTCAATAACTAGTAGGTCAGGTTATAATTTTTTATTTATTTATTTATAACATTATGAGCTATTAAGCTCATCATCTCGTTCGCTCTCTGTCTTGCTTTCATTCGGCAAGTCACAAACGATATATGATACTCGTATGTTCCTACTTCAACTCTCGAGAATCTGAAACAAACGAAACTCGTGTCCAATATACAGGGTGTCCGGTAACTAACAGACCAATGATTACAAATGGATTCTTTGGTCAATTTGGGAACGATTTTTCCTCAGCGAAAATGTCGAAAAAGGTCATCATTTTTTACAACTTTCCAATCTTTGTCATTATGTATCTTTATAACTAAGCCTTAAATTAAAATTTTATTATAGTAAACTCTACCTGAAATTAACTGAAGAATGTAATTATGTTAGACTTTTAACTCCAAAACGTTTAGTTTTCAAAAAACCTATTTTTTTCAATCGCTTATAACTCGAAAATTATTGACTTCTCAACATTTTTGCTAAGGAAAAATCGTCTCCAAATTGGCCAGAGAATCCGCCCTTAATCATTGGTCCGTTAGTTACCGGACACCTTGTATATATTATATAAAAGTGTATAGCACGTCAGAAGCTTGTGAGCTTACAGCGATAAGTAAAAACAATTGCGTATTTATTTCATTGCGTTTATCTGTTTAAACGCGCGCTTTAATTTTTCCAACGTTTTTGCCTGTTTATATTTTAAAGGTCCTCTCTTCTAAAAATCTTGTTTTAAAGATCCTCTCCGCGAGCAAAATTCGAAAACATAAATTATTTAATATTTTTACTTTATTATTTGTAAATCCTCGGTAATTTCAAAATTTTTCTATTTGAAAATTATTAATTTTCTATTGCCAATTAATTTTATCACAGACTTTACTCTTACTCCCATTGCACTTTCGTTTGCGGTTTTCAGTATACGATTTTTTATCGTAGTTACTGAAAATTATTATTGTGAATTATACTTGTGCAGTGATTTGAAGAATTTACAATTTCGTTGAAATTGTTGATTTTTCAAAAAAATTACGAGATTCGCGGAAATTGCGTGCTTTCTTGGCATTTTCCGTTCGCGGCAGGCGGTTTATTTTTGATTGTTGCAAGTGTTTTTGTTTTTTTTTTTTTAAAATAGATAATAATAATGTGAAATAAATCACGATATTTGACAGATGTGCATATATATAGAAATTGTAATAATAATAATATTATATCATAAAATTGTAAATTGTTTCAATTTTTTATAGACTGCGATAAAAGATTTTACATTTGGATAAGAAACTGCGGTAAGTAAAAATATAAAATTCTTGAAAACGTAAAAATATTTGATAACGTAAAAAGGTGAACTTTGAAAAATAAGGAACTTAAAAATTGCACTAATAAATGGGCTATATATATGTGAGCCGTGCGCGGATGTAAGGTGTGTTATATCGAAATTTAATTAATAGAATTGAGAATTAATCCCAATTTTAAGTCTTACAAATGTCCAAGCTAATTTTTTGTACCTCGTGTACATTTTTGAAAGTTATATCGAAAAATTAAATTTCAATATGCGTCTTACATCTCACATTTCGCATACGGCTCACATATAGCCTATTTATCTCTTATACTTTATTTCAACCCTTATAGAAATTTATTACTAGTAACGCCAATTTATCACTTATTTCGAGTAATTAATCACTTTTATTTCGAATACTTAAATTACTGTATATTATAGTATTTTAAATACTCAAAATAAGTGATTAATTGGCGTAGTGATAAATTTCTACAAGAGAATAAGGAGCCTTTAAATTCTTAATGTAAAAAATTTCAAGTAATTTTCTTTAATAAAATTTAATTAAAAAATTTAATTAAAAAATTTTTGAACACTGTGTTATATCACATTTAAAATCGTGATTATTTCAATAAAAAAACATTTTATGTGTAAAAAATATATTTTTTATATTTAATAAATTTTATATATATATGCATATATGTAAAATATTCTCTCTCTCTCTCTCTCTCTCTCTCTCTCTCTCTCTCTCTCACACACACACACACACACACACACACAACGGGGGCCAAATCTCTCAAATTGGTCTCATGATCAATTAGCCTGGATTCGCACCAGGGGCAAAGTCTGTTGGTAATGTCAAACGAATTTAGCCTGGACTTGCACCAGGGGCAAAGTCTTTTGGTCGAGTCTACGAAATTTAGCACGGACTCGAACCAGGGGCAAAGTCTTTTGGTTCAAGTCTACGAATTTAGCACGGACTCGAACCAGGGGCAAAGTGTGTCGGTAAGGGGCAAAGTCTATCGCACGAAGATGGCGGTCTCTTCTTTAGGCAGGCCTTTGGCGATCTGTCTATTAATCTGTGTTCGTGCTACATGTATTATTTTTAAATTAGTCTTATTTTATATTCATTTTTATAGTCATTAATTATATATATAAATCAAATTTCTTTTGTTATTTGTTATTATTTTTAATTTATTATTTGTTATTTGTTAAATTTTAAAAGAATTAACAAACAAAATTCTAATTTAATATAAATAATGCTTTTGACAATAACTTTTATTTTAACTTCGCAGTTAATTTAATCTTAACTTAACTTTAAACTTAATTTTAGTTTAAAAAAAAAAATTATTGTTTCAGGAAGAATATACGCACACATCATTTTAAGCAAAAATTTATATAAACTTAATCTTAATCTGGATAGTTACATAAATAAATAAGATACAGCGTGTTCGCAGTTTTAAAACAAATGAATACATTTATAATTATAATTATAAAACAAATGAATACATTTATAATTAACTTAATAGAATCACATTCTATTAAATATAATTACATTAAATTTTAAGGTTACAATAATATAATAATAATTATAATAAATAATCGTTTTATTGATATTAAATCTCTGTCATATTATATATATATATATATATATATATACTGAAATATTTTTTAATCAAAACTCGATAAAAAAATATGTTTATATGTATAACAATATAAAATTATATGGAATATATAAAATTATATATTATACACATATAATCGCAAAATTATATATATGAAATATGTTCGTATATACATAATTAGATAAAAGTACTTTCTATATAATTATATAAATTTATATATATATAATAATTTAAGTATTTCTTCATATATATATATATATATATATATAATTTGACATATACATATATGTACTCTTATAATTTATATATAAATTTATATAATTATTATAATGTATAAAAATAGATATATATTTCACGTATAATTTAAGATTATATGTATAATATATTATACAATTATTTATATATAATTATACATATATATGAAAAATTTTTTACCGGGAAATATATATAATTGATAGAAAAAGGATAATTAAAGAAATATATTAGTGTATAATAATGAATATCATCGTTATAGTGTCGAAATGTTAAATTATACTGTTTTTGATGTTTTATTAATATTTAGTAATAATAATAATTATACAAAATCAATTGTACAAATTATACAGAGTTAATAACTTTAGCAATATATATAAATAACAAAACTTTATTTTATATTTTTATTTTAAAAAATCAATTTTTAATTGATATTTAAAAAATTAATTTATTATAACACATAATTTTAAAACTTTAAATATCAAAACTTAATTAACACTAAAATATAACAATAAAATTTTTTTTAATTATGAGAAATATCAACTCTTTAAATCTTTTTGTTAAGGAAAAACCCAACCAAAACTAACAATTTTTAATAAATATTTTAAAAATAATCTTATACGTAAAGAAGTCACAATCTTTTTTATTTTATATACAAAAAATTACACGACAAGAAATTCTCTCTTTCTTTCTCTAACGCAAAATTGTTTTTAATACTACTTTTACTTCTTTCGCATCTTATATGTTACATGTAATGTTTTCCATCAAACGGATAATTTTTTACACATTTCACATTTGTGTGCCGTCATTATGTCGTCAAAAAAATTTACTAATTTTGTCTCAACTATAATGTTGAATAATAAAGATTACAAGTACCCTAATTGCTACTTGAGTTGCTACCCAAGTTATTAGCTAACTGACGTCATTTTGACGTCTATAATAACGTCATTTGACATCAAAATGACGTTCGCTTTTTGCACCTTGAAACTCTCTTGAGAATATACTAATAACTGTATAAAAATTGAAATGTATAATTATCGAATTAGGAAATTAAAGATTATTAACATTATGAGAGAGACGAATAAGTTCCAGCGCTATAGCGTCAGGTAAATCACTTCCCACTTGAGCGTCAAAATACTCTCTCAAATCTTTGACTTCTTTTTGCCAGAAAGCTTTCGGAAGATTAAACAATTCCATCATATTTACGTTATCATTGAGATTTTCTAAATTGATAGATCCTGGCTTTGGCAATAAGCCAATTGCTGATTCTTCAGCGATGTCTTCACCGTCAAGCCTTCGAAGGATCCAATCAAGAACGCGAGAGTTCTCGCCGAATCCTGGCCACAAAAATTTACCGTCTGCATCCTTTCTAAACCAATTTACGTGAAATATCATTGGCAGCTTGGCATTTTTTACATTTGCCATGCTTAACCAGTGGGCAAGATAGTGTCCAAAATTATAACCAAAGAAGGGCCTCATGGCAAACGGATCGTGCATGATTACTTTACCCTGTAAAGTACATTAGAATTACATTAAAATTAGCTCAGTTAAACTCTCAATTAGTCTTTTGGGATTTTTATTTCTTTTAATCTTAATATTCCAGATAGACATAAGTATGCTGAACATAGTATGCAAATATATTATGTATACTTTGTAATGCAATTAGCATAAAATTACGAATCATTTTAATAAATTTTAATTGTGGATTATGATGTTATATTGTTAACATATATTTGTATATTTTATAAAATAGCAATATGTTTCACTATACTATAGACGCATAACTGCAATTATTATATTTCTGATAAAATAGGCAACATATTTTCGCAATTTTTACAGCATTAGAAGATCCTTTCACTTGCTGATAATACTCATGTCATATGAAGACGTATCTTTTAGTGTTTATGCAAGCATTTTCAATTTTAAAATTCTGTCATTATGCAGGCAATCTGCTGATGTCTATCTGGGATATTTCAAAAGAACCCCCTTTTTGCACTAATCCTATATAAAATTAAATGCCGGTAAAATCAGCTGGTTTTCTCATTTGTTGTAGCTTTTATGACCTGCTGAATAAAGAATCTAATAGATTAAAAAATGGACAATTAAATTATTGACAGTCAGTCGAACACGAAAAATTCGAGTTCTATGAATTGTTTAACTGTCAAGCGGGAAGCACACACTTTTTGCATAAACGCATAAGCGTAAGCATAAGAATCTTGATTTCTCTATAAACGTATGCATAATAAATTCAATTAATCGAATTTCTTATGCATATATGCATGCTTATGCGCTTATGCAAAAGTGTGTGCTCCCCGCTTCAATAACTGTTATATAGCTTTAAGCCTATTACATTTTGTGTTCAGTAGATTATAAGCTGCAACATAAAAGAAAATGAGCTGATTTTATCAGGATGCTTTTTTATAGACTTAGTGCGGGATTCTGATATATTACACATATAGTTTGCATTTCTGTAAAAGTTGATTAGTGTGTTAGAATATACCTTATGTTCAGCGGCGGCAGTAGCTTCAGATCTCATTGTAGCACCGATGAAAACGCCGTGTTGCCAATTACGGGCTTGATAAACCAAAGGTACACCTTCCGGCCTTCGGCCTCCGAATAATATAGCATCGATCGGAACGCCAGTTGGATCATCCCAAGAAGGATCGATGATCGGGCATTGTGTTGCCGGAGTGCAGAATCTTGAGTTTGGATGAGCAGCTGGTACTTTGGAACCTTTGTCCCAATCGTTACCTCTCCAATCCGTCACCTGCGATCAAAAAAGTTGGTTTTTCACATTGTTTACACACGCAACATACAAGTGTGTCAAATATAAGAACGCAGAAATAACAATATAAATTTAAAAAATTATCAACAGAGAACCTTAATAGAGAACCTTTCCCAGATAGCACCATGTTCAAAATTGATGCATAAAATCATTAAGAAATTTTCAAGAGACCTTTATATATGATATCGCAAAGAGAGAGAGAAAGAGAGAGAGAGAGAGAGAGAGAGAGAGAGAGAACATCTTAAAAGCATCTTAAAGGTGTCTTATGCACCAATTTTGGACATGGTGCTGTCTGGGTTACTATCTAATTTCAATGTTAGTTATTCTATATCTTGAATAATTTCATAGATGTTTATTGCATTTTTTGTGATAAAAAAATCAATTGTTCATGTAGTGTTCATTTATATATACCTTGACATTATCACTGATTTCCTTTTCCATTCCTTCCCAATACACTCCTCCGTCACTGGTAGACGCTACATTGGTGAAGATGGTATTTTTGAAATAGTCTTCATCGCATTGGGATTCGTAGCCGAACTTGTACCGGGAGCGACTCCGAAGAATCCATTCTCCGGATTAATAGCGCGTAAATTTCCTTCATTGTCGAATCTCATCCACGCAATATCATCTCCTACGCATTCGATCTTATAACCCGGTAGAGTCGGTTGCATCATAGCCAAATTCGTTTTGCCGCATGCGCTCGGGAAAGCAGCAGCAATGTATCGTTTCTTGCCCTTAGGATTTGTGATACCCAATATCTGAAATGGATGCAAATTATTTTGCTTGTTTTATTTTACTTTATTTGCTTTACTTATTTATACCGTCATATTTTTTATAGACATATTCTGGCAAAAAATGTTTCGAATAAAATTAAGTTTTCTTCCATAGAATCGAAAAATGTAATTTATTGTATATAGGATATTCTCTATTTAAAATTTTATAATCAATTCTCGTCCCATTTGTGCAACTGAGGTTTGAAAAATATTATTCATTCAAGTTTGAAAGCCCTTCAATCCAATTCAAGAAATCGAAACCTTTAAAATCGATAGTTTTCAAAATATCAAACTGTTAAGATTCAAATTATATGGGCCAGCCTGTATTTATATTGAGTATTTACGAAATACTTAGATAAATTTTAGAGCGTATTTCTTATATTATAATAAAAAAATTATAAACCTATAATAAAAAATAAATGGTTTTTGATTATGGATAAATAAAGAAATAGATAAGAAAACATACAAGCATATGTTCGGCGAGCCATCTCTCCTTCCTGGCTATAGTCGAACCAATTCGTAGTGCAAAACACTTCTTTCCTAATAAGGAATTTCCACCGTAACCGCTTCCATAAGATACGATCTCGTTCTTGGCGGGTTTGTGAAGGATGATCGTTCTCTCGGATCGCATGGCCATAAATGGTTTACATCAATTTTGAATTGTGTTCCGGAATGCCGACTGAATGCAAACATTTCACGAAATCGTCGTTTCCCAGAAATTCGAGCACCTTCTCTCCCATCCTGGTCATTACTCTCATCGAGCAAACTACATAAATCGAATCCGTAATTTCCACGCCAATTTTTGAAAGCGAAGAACCTACGGGACCCATACTGAAGGGGATCACGTACATGGTCCGTCCTATATATATGTTATAAAATTTTAATTATTGAAAAATTTTTTAAAATTAATTATCAAAATTATTACAGTATATATAGTTTTTTGTGATTTAAAAAAATATACATTTATATTGATTATATAATTTATAAGATGTGCAAAAATCAATGAGTATTTTTTAATAGCAATTGTGTGTTCAATTTGAAGCCGATTTTTTCTTAGCATAAAATTAAAAAAAGTCATTGTTACATGCACTTCAATTTTTTCCTTTATATATCTTTGTTATTAAATTTTCAAAAAAAATTTAATTAAAATAAACTGCATCTTAAATTATTTAAAGAATATAGTTTCATTGGTCTTTTAATTCCACAAAATTTAGTTTGCGAAAAGCCTTTCTTTTTCAATTGCTTATAATTCGAAATTTATTGATAATTCGAAAAATTCAAAAACAAATGTCTCTTTATCTCTGTTTAGCCATATATTAGTTTCAAATTAACCAAATAATTTCTTAAAGTTAAAAGGACATTCAATTATGTCTCACACAATCTTATATATTGTTTTCACATAATACGTGCGAATCGATAACAAATCATAAAAATGCTATAGAATTTCTACTGACCTTTCATACAATTTGGAAAACGTTCCAAGATAGCTCGGTCCATGTCATTCGGAGAGATCCAATTTCCAAGTTCCCCAATTACACCTTCACGTGGGGTAGGAACAGCGTCGCTTTTCAAGTCTGTGCTGATGAATGTACGTTTCTCGACGCGTGCCACATCCGCAGGATGAGTTTTTGCCAGCCAACTGTTGTAAAATTATAGAAAAAATACACATATTATAAATATAATAATAACATATAATAATTTTAATAATAGTATAATAATAATAATAATAATGATAATGATCTATAATCTTTTAACTTATTAAATTATGTGATCAAAATATTTGATATAATGTGGATGATAACTATTATACGATGTTTCTCATTAAATTAGAAACCAATATTAAATTAAAATCACCGAAGAGAGAAAATATTTTTAACATATTCATTCATTTTTTTCTGATATATATATATATATATATTATATATAATATATATATTTAAGCAGATTATTAAATATATATTTTGTACAGCATATACATAATCGTTTATTTGAATTAATAAAATAAGATCTAATACAATATGTCTGATTGATTTCGATTGTGTACCTTTTATAGTGAACCTAAATATTATTGAAAATAATAGTCCAATAATATTTTTTGAAAATTAATTAGTTATAATACTTTTGTTTTTTTTTAAATAAAAATCAGTATCAAGTGTATGTTTTATTTGACCTTCATGCTATTATAAAAAAGTTATAATTATTATCTTTTAGTTTTATTAAATAGGCAAACTAACATTTAACAAAAATAATACAACAATATTGTGGGACGAACGAATTATTAAAACTCACCAATTGTCATATTTGGGTAAATTCTTGATGGTTCCATTTTTCTGGAGAATTTTCAACATTTGCATGTATTCAGCCTCTGTACCATTGCATATGTAAACCTCTTTAGGACAGCACAACGCGACACATTCTTCGAGGTAATAACGAAGTTTCGACGAGATTTCTACTGCACATGCATTCAATAACGGTACTTTACCAATATAATCATACCCATTTTTGATCAATGGATCTTTTGCCACTTGAGTAACAATAAATTTTGGCATTCTGTAAAAAGTAAAAATACATATTGAAAGAATGTCGTGAGTGAAAATGTAAATATCGCGAATATATTGAGAATTATATATATTTATTGTACATTTCTTTCGCCAGTAAATATTCTTTTAAAAAATTTGTATTTAATTTTTTCTTAGCAAAAATATATATGATTGAATGATATTGTTTTTATATAGAGTTCGGTTGAATTAGGAGCTAAAGCCACCTGACTAGGAATATGTTCGGGAAAGAACTGATTACAAGTTGGAAACTGCAGCCGGTTTTTAATATTTTGGATTTATTGTTTAACGACTAGGTAAAAAATTCTTTAGATAAAATCCTATTTAGATGGCTATCAATATGTATAGATAATTTTAATTTCTAATAGCAGACTCCGTTAAAAGAGCAAGTTTCTAGACGAAAAATAGTCAGAAACTAGCCAAACGGATCAGTAATAGATAACTAGTTTTTATGTCTAGTCAAAGGTTAGAATATTCTGGTTATTATTTTATGGCTAATAACTATAGTTAACAATTAGATAAGACAAACCGAATAACAACTAGAATGCGCCATATTTGACTATAAATTTTTTTATACTGTATGCTTAAAAAACTAACCAGAGCTAACTGATTTATAATAGTAAAATTAAAAATTTTTTTAACAGCTTGGTAATCATTTTATTTATAAATTCTAATTATGATACAATTAGATATAATATAATATCTAATTTATAATAATATAATTTCTAATTATAATAATTAATTGAAACTTATAAAATAAAGTAAAGACAAAATTGGAAAAAATTTTGTTAATTGTTATATTTAAATAATAAAAATAGAATGTTTATTAATTTCGGCCAACTCTTACAATTAGTTCTTAATCAGCTTATGCCTAAAAATAACAGCTACAATATTGTTAATTAATAATTAAATAACTATTAATTACTTTACCAGTAACTTACAAATTGAATGAATAGTTATAATAGTTATATGATTAAATTGAATTATTATTTTCTAATAATATCATCATCAAATTTGATAAAGTTTGATAAAATCTTGATTCTCTTAATTTCGTCTGTTACTATATTTTAAATTTTAATAAAATTAATAAAATAACAAATTACCAATGGGCCTACAACAGAAACTATAATCAAAAGTTATTTTTCTGTTTCTCCGATTTTTTAAATGTTTTGTAATTTATTATTTTATTATAGTATAAATGTTCATTTCGTTTAGATTAAAAAAAATCAATAAAAAAATCATAATTTTTTAATAAATCATATAATTTAAATTTTAAAAAATTTAAATGTTTCTTTAAATCCCAAAAAGGTCATTTTATGTCATTTTATGTAACTTAATACGAAAAACTAATATTAAGAAGATAATAGTATAATTTAACAAACACTTATATTTGTTTCTTTCATTATTTAGAGATAATTAAATTTGTATCTTTATGACGATAACTCTTGAACTTGAAACGTACGATGTCAAAGATAAGCAAGATTTAAAGCTTTTGTTTTTCTCATTACCAGTTATAAGTATATTGAATGTGTAGAAGCGAGCAATTAAATTTTTGTCTTGAAGCGAAATTTTCTCGATAAAATATAAAAAGAAAGTTTTCTGTTTCTACATATATATTATAATATAAAAAGAAAGTTTTCTATTTCTACATATATATATAATATTATAAGTTTTCTTCTGTATATTTCTCGTATTCGATAGTATGTAAAATTTATTAATTATATGTAAATTTTAATTAAATGTACTGTAAACTTTCCTTTTTATTATCTTGTATTAATCAATCCATGTACGTGTATGTGTACACATATACACGAAAATTTTAGACAAGCTATTTTCTTTTACTAAAGCTTCCAAATTGATATCTAAACATTCACTTATTATATTCCTTTATTCAATTCCAAGTTCGTACTGGTCTTATTTTGTACATACAAACTGTTAATAAAAAGGATAACTTTATTTAAAAAGAAATAATCGCTCTATAAAGAACAGCAGCATCTTCAAGGGGATACCGGAGACGGGTCTGTCTTACCGACCGAATTCCGATAGGTTAGCACCACACATAACCGCACATATGCACATATACACATATACACATGCATATACACACACATATGCGTGAAAATTTATTAATATATAACTTTTTTTATTAGATTTGTAATCTCACTTCTAATTGTTCACTAATATGTTATCCTTATTGCGCGAGCTATATCTTATGCACAGACAAACTGCAGAACTTTTTTTATTAAATAAGTATTGTTACAAACTGACATAAAAGAAGCCGATAAAAAAACTGTAATTTTTTATTTTTATACGATTTATATGTAGAATTATAGCTAACGCGGTCCGTTTTTATAAGTACTTTAATCGTGGAAAAGGATTTATTGATTTGTATAATCAATAAAAAGATATCCCAAGATCAATATTCATGCATTCGGTCGGTAAGACAGACCTGTCTCCGGCATCCCCTTGGTTGCGTTCGGAAACGTCCCCCGAGTGCATTCCCTCTCTTTCTATATCACTTCTATGTCAGTGATATAGAAAGAGAGGGAATATGTACTCAAAGGACGTTTCCGAATGCAATTCTTAAGGGGATTCTAAACGCCGTCCTATTTTATCGATAGAACATCATTTTTGTGCATTCATATCTTTTTATTGGTTGAATAGAATGATAAATGTTTTTCCACGATTAAAGTGCATATAGAAACAATGCGCGAACCTATCGATTTTATATTAAAAACGAAAAATGTTTTTAAATTAAGAAATTAAAATTGTTTGGTTCTTAAGAGGATGCTGACCATGTCTGTTTTACCAACTTTGAGTTCAAGGGCTTTTTTTTATATACCTATACAGATTGAAAAATCCTTCTCCACAATTAAAGCACTCATAATAATGAACGAGAAGCGCTGTAATTTATAAAAAACAATAAAAGTTAAAAAATTACAGTTTTTTTATCGACCTCTTGCATCAGCTTATAACAATAGTTATTTAATATAAAAGTTCTGCAATTTATTTGTGTACAAAATATGGCACTCCCAATAGAGATGACATGAAAGAATAATACAGAAGTAATAAAAATGAGATTAAAAGCCTGTATCAAAAGATTCATACTTGAATTAATTATGTATATATATTTGCATGCGCTCCCCATTCATTATTATCAGTACTTTCATTGTGGAGAATTTTATTTTAATGTGTATATTCAATAAAAAGTGAACCTAACCTAACTTAAAATTGGTAAAACAGAACTACGGCAGCATCCCCTTAACATAAAATCAGTAAGTTTCGCGCTTTGTTTCTATATGTACTTTAATCGTGGAAAAGCATTTATTATTCTATTCAAACAACAAAAAGAAAAAGATGCACAAAAATGATGTTTTATCGATTAAAACAGGATGATGTTTAGAATCCCTTTATTAATATTACATTGGTCAATAAAAATAAACTGTTTAGTTGTCATTGAATTTAGAGTATTTTGGGAACGCTGAATCCAAAAATGACAACGGTTTTGCTAAATTGGCTTCTTTTGAGACAATGGATACTCAAATAACGATTTTATTCCAATATGGACTTGTTAGCAAGGTCTGTCTTCTTATTCCTTAACATATTTGGTTTTATATCTAACGTGATACTAATGACATACATAAAAGGAAATTGTACAAATAGCATTTTTCTATACATATATTAATTGTAATTGTCTGAATCAGCTCTTACTATGTTTTTGTTATTTTATTGTATACAAAGCAATTAAATTATATTTAATTTATATATATATTTTTATATGATTTAAAATGATAGTTTCCACATGATTTGGGGATAGGCTACACCTGACAGTTTTTGCAGTTCTTGTTTTTCGAGGTACCCATTATAAAAATTAGAGCCAATAATCTAGGAAAAGCAATGCCATATATTCGGAGTCAGCGACACAACAAGTTACTTAATAAAATCGATCTAATTGTAAGTGACAATAAAATCAGTGTTGACCAGTGTTATCTTAATGTTTGCTTAAAGACAAAAGAGAATAGATACTTACTGTGAAATACGAGTGTCAACAGCATACGGTGTCCTACGGATTTTTTCAATCGTAAGTGCGGACGGTGCGAAGAAATGCACGGAACGACTCATTTTCCTCGGGATTGAATCAAAGTTAAGTTGAGGGGATCGTCGCAATTGACAAAGCATCCGATGGAGAAATTCCTCTTGTCCTGAGATCGTCGTAAAACTCCCATCAAATTCTTCCAGTTGCAGTAGAATTTCGGCGGCATGTTTTCACGTTGTCGCTTCCAAACGCTTGCTTTATATACGCGATAACTGAACTGTATTTTGCCCGGGCGGGCGAGCCCTAACGATCCTCCTTGTTCGATTGGTTCGATAAGGAGAGTTCACTCCGTTAGACTTCCGGTTGAATAATGGGGGGAGGCGGGCGCAAAATCGTCAGATGACGTCTCGGATCGACGATCCCATGAACGATGACCGCGAAACAGAGTCGCGGCTGTAAGAATTACAACCGATGAGCTCTTCTATCTCCCTCTTTCTCTCTTTATCTGAACGTTGTGTCTTCAAATGATCGGAGTCATTTGAGCCACGCTGATCGAAATTCAAAGTTCAAAAAAAAGAAAATATACTTGAAAGTTAATTAATATATGCTGTAATATAGGGTGTCCCATTTTAAATATTGCATTGCTATTTTTTGAAAACTAAAGCTTCCATATATTAAAAGATATTTCGTACCGAAATTGTTGAATTTCGAAGGGATCGTTTTATCATAAGCATAATCTTATTCCAGAGGGTATTTCAAAAATTTCGTAGTGTTATCATTACTTTTTAAATCTTGACTTAATAATTTCTGCGTAGAATAATGAGATATCAATTGGTGTAAACACTCACAGTTATTAAAACAATATATGGAATTTGCACATTGTAAATTGCAATTTTTTTAATCTCAAGGATGTTTTTCTTACACCAATTGATTTATTTCATTATTCTATGCAAAAAATTAAAGTATAAAATTATTGAAAAATGATATACTACGAGATTTTTTATATCTTTTGTTTAAATGTATCGGAATAAAACATAAAATATCTCGTAAATTCATCTTTAAATTATGCTACTTTGACAATTTTTTAATATATATCATGAGGAATTTATTTATGTAAGAAAAGTATATGATGAGTCTATTTTAAAAAGTAATGAGATGACCTCAAAAATTCAAAAATACCTTTATCTAGAATAAGACTATACTTACGACAAGATGTCTTTCTCGAAATCCACCGAACACTTTATGCACAATTTTCAATGGAAGCCTTAGTTTATGAAAATGACATTATTTAAATCTTGTTTATAATGAATGCACTTTATAAGCCGCAATCAATTACATTATATTACCATTATTACCAATTATATTGAATCGATTTTAGAGTAATTTATTTGTGTTGTGCTGATTCCAATAAGACATTGATTTTCCTATTGGCTCTAATTTTTGAGATAATGAATGTCCCATAAAAAACATAAAAAGTGCAAAAAATATAATATTTAGAAACTATATGTTATATCCCCAAATCATATAAAAATTATTTCAAATCATATAAAAATATATACATGAAATATCTAATGACGTTGTATTATATCTTCAGTAAAATAACATCATAACAAAATTAATTGATTCAGATAATCACAATTAATGCATAGAAAAATACTGTTTATACAATTTTCTTTTATGTGGGTCATCAGGATCACTTTAGGAAATGAAAATAATGTTAAAGATTAAAAAGATACCGAAACCTTGCATATGCAGGTAAGCTACAGATCGTAATTGGGGTAAAATTGTAATTTGAACATCCATTATCTCAAAAACTACAGCCAATTCGGCAAAACTAGTGTCATTTTTGGGTTCAGTATCCCCAAAATACCCTAAATTCGTTCAAACATCTTAACAAACAACTTAACAAAACATTATTTAATTTTTTTTACCAGTGTTATCAATAAAATTTCGCAAGAATTAACAAACACAGCGTGTACTTAAATTAAATAAATCTTAGGGAATATAACCGATCAACAACTTTTGTAATACAGTGTTGCAATGATCTCGCGCGAAACGATACGATAACATGCACTGTGACACAATAACTAAATGCTGTTTCACAGGAAAGTAAAAGCTACTATTCGCTCTCTTATATTAAATTGAAATCGGTCGAACGGACGGATTTTATACCGAAAGCCACTCTCGCTGGTCTTATTTCTGTACTTCGCTATCTTGCTCTCTTACCCGAGTCAACTTTCCGCTTCTTTTGCTGCGCGCGCGAACGACTTATTTACCGTCCGTCAAACGAGTAAGACCACTATTTCGCACAATCCGGCTCCGATGAAAGGACCCTGCCTTTTATTCGAAATAATCGAGCACACGTTCTGCGTCCCGTGCAAATAAAATCATAAACGATAATGAGAGAGATCCGTAGAAGAATTTTATTTAATACTCATGTTTACGAATAGGAGATATACAAAGTGGTTCAAAAGTCCGGGCTTAGGAAAAAATGTTAAATACAAAAGTTATAAGGCTCAAAATAAGGCACTTGATGTTCACCACCTTGACTTTGATCTAAAAAACTGAATACTTTACAAGATATTTTACATTTTATGTCAAAAAATTATTATCTTCAAACCTTTATAATTCAAAAAGTACTTAATAAAAAAATATTTTATTATTGTGTTTTGGAAAGCTCTCGAGATAAGTTACAAGAATATGCAATGAACAATAGGGGGTTCATTAAAAAAAATTAAATTGACCTTGAAATGACCTAAATTTACCCTAGGTCAAAGTCAAAGTCACCATCAAGTGCCTTATTTGACCCCTACAACTTTTGTATTTAACATTTTTTCATAGGACCACTATTTTCGGAGATAATTGACCGTTCCCGAACTTTTGAATCACTCTGTATATATGTCACTTTTCTCGAAAAAGAGAGAGAAAGAATTTATAACACCGAGATCATATCGTCATCATTCAAGTCACATTTATCATGTGTAATATAGATTTTTCGATAGTCGGCGTATATGTATGTATTGTGAAAAACATATGTAATACAGAATATAAAATATAGGTATATACCTATATAAGGTGTCCAATTTTAATCGACCATCCCTAGAAACCTTTTCGTTTTGTGTACTTTTTTGATTGTACAACAAAATGTTTCAAATAACAGTTATTTGATTTGAAAGCGGACAGAAGATGGTCCTATACTAACTTTTTTCTGAAGAGCAACTTTTTTCTAAGTTATTTAAAAGTCATTTATGTTTTTTTAAATAGAGCTACTATAATTTTTTTATAAATGAATTTTTTGCAATTTTTGGCATAAAAAGTTATGAGGATATAAGTAGTCAAAAATGAATAGTGTTTATGAGATACTTTATATTTTAATTTGTCATTAAAATACATGTATAAAAAACATTTTTTTTCGATCTTACCGCAAAATACTTTCATACATAAAATAATAAAAATAATCTACTCTTGTAAAGAAAACACAGTTTGTAAGAAAAAGTATGTATTAGCTCCTATAGTTCCAAATTACATATTTGAATACAATAATAATATTTTCAATAATAATTTTAATAAAAAGAAACACAAAAACAATAACTGATATTTATGTCAAAAAGTAATTTTTATTTTTGTAAAACATTTATTTAGTTAATGACTATGTATAACTAATGTTTCCCAATATTATACTTATATCCTCTTTATCAAAATTATTTAAAATCAAAATAAGATATGTGGAAGGAAATATATTACAATTAGTTTTTGTGTTATAATAAAAAAATTAAAAAAAGGTACATGTGGAAGGAGAGTAGGTGAGAAAATAAAGGTAAAAATTAAGAAAATTATACAATACATTATAAAGATATCTGCGCGAAGAAAGAGAAAATTAAATCTATAAATTAAATAATTAGTAGCAGTTTAAAGTACATTTATTTATTGTTTTACACAGAAATATATTTGTGTAAATTTTATAACTATTTGTTGATTAAACTTACATATATGAAAAATACGATGCGTTTTTTAATTGTATTATAAAATAGATAAGGACTCTTATAGAAATTTATCACTAGTAATTAAGTCCAAATAATCAATTATTTCGAGTACTTAAATTACTGATGTACAGTAATAAGGGAAAGAAATAACTATTGACTTTTTTCATAATATTTTATGGGTTCTCCTCCTCTCTTTCTCTCTTTAGAATATTTAGTCAGCTTTCGAAATAAATACATAATATATACATCCATCTCGGCCAATAGAGCCAAACCCGATGTTATTGCGAAAATTAAGAAACTTAGGACATCGTATCTTATGGTTGAGATCTCAAAATTCCCCTTGTTCCTCTTTGGGAACCTCTTTTAACCTCTTTCCCAAAGAGGAACAAGGGGATTTTTGAGATCTCAACCATAAGATACGAATTCCCAAGTTTCTTAATTTTCACAATAACATCACGTTTGGCTCTATTGGCCGAGATGGATGTATATATTACGTATTTATTTCGAAAGCTGACTAAATATTCTTAAATAAACTAAATATTGTAAAATTATAAATATTAAAAATATTAAATCTCTCTTGGTATACAAAATAATTAATTTCTTGTTCAATTCAAGGAAATTTTATTTCAGATAAAATAATATTTAGATTTACGTAATTTCAAATAATTAAAGTAGTTAATGAAACGAAAAATTAATAATATAAAAAATCTCGGTATAAGACTTCTTGTGTAATATGTACGTGTGTATGTGTGTATCTAACGAAACATGTTAATATGCTATCGTTAAAAAATGAATTGAAAAGATAACGGAAATCGCTTCTTACATATGAAATACATAGAGCAAATGATGCAATATGATTTAAAATTCTTACCACGCGCGTGTCTCATATTCAAAAAATGTAATGACATATATATATTATATATACATATACATAATTAATTATTCATTAATTAACAGAAATATATATGTATATATATATTTAAGATACATATTATTAACATATATTATTTAAAATAAAACTCTATATACATATACAAGATATTTCTAAATAAGTGCGGAAAAATTTTAGGAAAGTCTTCGTTAAATATTAGAGTTTTAAATATATATATATGTATATACATATACTTCTATATTCCTCCCTGAAGAATTACATTCCTCTAGAAGAGAAAGTGAAAATTAGGCTTTTAATTTTTTTTTCTTAAATTTTAGACAAATTAA